GGATGATATCTCTATGATTGGATTATATGATAGTTAACAAGATTGTGTGCTCCTTTGAGAGTGGTTGTGTTTCTAAGAGGTTAAAAAAAGAGGCACTTTAAAGTTGTATTAACCCAGTTGCACAAAAATAATGCATAGGGCTTGCTTAGATAAAAGATAAACCTTTTATCAGCTTGGGGCAAGACTATCCAGCATGACTGCCCAGTTAGGAATTTATGATAGGGTCACCCAGTAAGGTTACTTTCAGTTAGATTTATTACAGAGCCTTTTTTTTCCCACAGTAGCAATGAGGGTTTGCTTTTTGAGATTTTAGGTTTTTGCTTTTTCAAATTTCAATCTGAATATCTCAGGTGAGGTAAGCCAAATATTTATATTTATATTTATATTTATATTTATATTTATATTTATATTTATATTTATATTTATATTTATATTTATATTTATATTTATATTTATATTTATATTTATATTTATATTTATATTTATATTTATATTTATATTTATATTTATATTTATATTTATATTTATATTTATATTTATATTTATATTTATATTTATATTTATATTTATATTTATATTTATATTTATATTTATATTTATATTTATATTTATATTTATATTTATATTTATATTTATATTTATATTTATATTTATATTTATATTTATATTTATATTTATATTTATATTTATATTTATATTTATATTTATATTTATATTTATATTTATATTTATATTTATATTTATATTTATATTTATATTTATATTTATATTTATATTTATATTTATATTTATTTATATTATTTATATTTATATTTATTTAAGAACAACTTTTACCACTCGCTCTATTTTTTATTTGTTCATGTACTACTGATATTTAGAAATGTGAATTTAATTCCAATGAATACTTTTGTCATTATAGCATTTTATTGTACCCTTGATTCTCTATTTCCTTGGACATTGTTTCTTGCTTTGATAAAAATTAGCATGTCTCTTTTTCCTCTTTCCTCCTTAACCCCTCCTTTACCACCAGATTTTAACTATTATCTTAGTATTTACTTTTATAATGTTAAACATGCTTCTAGTTCCAATTTTAATTGTGAGCTTTAAAGGATATCTTAACTACAGTTTATAGATGAAGCTGGTGAATCTTTCCTGCCTCTCCCATCTCCTTTTTTCTTTCTCCTTCCGGTTTGTCTTAATGTAAATCTTTTCCTCATTGTCAGAGTGTGTCTGTCTTAGGCTTACTTGTGCTATAGTTTCCCTAGTCATTTCTTCGTTGCTGAAGCAGTTTCTTCAAGAAAGAATCATGAAGAACAATATTCTTTGAGTTGTTGCATCTTCTAGCTTTTATATTGTGAAAAACATTTGGGCTTTCCTTAAGGATCTTGAAAATATTGCTCTATTATCTGGCATTGACTGCTGCTGTGGGGAGATACGAGGCTAGCCAGAACTTCTTTTCTCCCTTTCAAAATGGACTGATCTCTTTTCCTGGCTGTTTCTTAATTTTTGGAATCCAGTAATTTTTCTGCATTGAATCTCCCCGTGAGTTATTCTAGGCTATTTTTTTTCTGGCATATGATGTTGCTCTTTCAGTACGGAGATTTATGTCTTTTTTTTTTTTTTTTTAATTTTCTTGAAATATCTTGAACTATTCATTCAGTTCTATTGTTTTAGTTTTCCTTCTTATTCAGGAATTCCAGTAACTCATATATTGATGTTTTCTCTTTCTCTTCTTCCCTTCTTCCACCCTCCTCTCTCTGCCTCTCTAATGTCCTCCCTTTTCCTCTCTCCCTCACCGACCCCCCCTCTGTGCACTCACACACACATACTTTACTCACCACTTAATTCTCTGCAGGCTGGATCTCACCCATCATTGTACTTACTATCTAATCAAGAAAATAAAACACTTTCTTACTAAACATACCAATGATATCTTTTTTTAAAAAAATATGTCTATTGATTTCAGAGAGAGGAAGGGAGAGGAAGAGAGAGAGAGAAAAACATCATTGATTGGCTGCCTCCTGCACACCCCCTCCTGGGGATTGAGCCCGAAACCCAGGCATGTGCCCCGAACAGAAATCTAACCTTGATCTCCTGGATCATAGGTTGATGCTCGATCGCTGAACCACAACAGCCAGGCCCTATAATATCTTAATTGCTAAATCCAATAAACACTTTTCATATCTTACTTATCCTCAGTGCTGTTTTAACAGTGATAGTCACTCCTTTTTGAAATTCTGTATCCTGTAGATATCTGTGACTGTGTGTTCTTCTGATTTTCAAACCTCTGTGACTGTTTCTGTTTTGGATTTTCTTTTCATCCTCTGATCATATCATAAATATTGGTTTTCCTTCTGGTTTACTCCATTGTCCACTGATTTTTATCTCTATTTATTGTGGACAATTTTATTTATATGCACTGTTTCCTCTCATAGCTTAGAAATCTATAATTCTAACTGAGATGTTTCAGATTACTATATCCATTCTTATTATTCAACATCTAAATAAAGATGTTCCTCAAATACCATAGCCAAACTACAACTACCTTTTTCCTTCTAACACCTCCTCCTATATTTCTTATCTCATTTTATGATATCAGTCAACCATCACTTAAGTTAGGAATTTAGGAGTTATTATAGACTTCTCTTTATGCCTCCTAACCCACAGCCAACTTGTCACCAAGCTCTGTAGTTTTATTTTATAAATATTTCTTATTTCTGTTTGCTCTGTTTTGTGCTTGCTATCTCATGGTTTCACTCTCCATTATCCCTGTATCCTTAGTACTTAGTACCAGGCTATGTACTTAATTCCTTATTTTATGTCTTAAATCATTTTAAAATATGCTTTAATAATTTCTACCTCATAATTACATTTGAAGTTTCAGCTGTCTGCTTGTGCTATTTGTAGTTCTGCTGATGTTCAGTCATGGTGCATTATTTCATGAGGCGCTTTAAGTTTTTATTTTGAGCACATTTTCAGTGGGGCTTCATCAGTAGGACTTAATTTGCCTTTGTTAAGCACTGTCTTGAGAGAGATTCTGAATTTGCTTCTTTCAGGTGTCCCAGGAGTATCCTTTTTAAGGATCACTTTGTGTTAATTTCCTGTCTTGATTGTCCTATACTAAGGAGATAGTGTAAATTCAAATCTCAAATCCCAAATCCACCTTCCGGAAGGGTCTTGATTGTGGATTCTTTCTTGGAGAGGACAGATTTACCCCCATCGAGTCCAGGCTGAGACAGAAAACCTTTATTGTCATCTTCCTTTGTCTATAGGCAGATTTCCCCCCTCTAATTTCCTTTCACAAAGGATGCAGCTCCAAGAATCCTGGTTTTAGTCAGATCTTTTCTTTAATTTTTTATGTTGCAAGGTTCTAAGACCTCAGCTTCTTTTTGAAATTAAAACCCAAGCTCTTATGTCACCCCAAAATTTATAGAACAGTCTAAGTTGACAGCTCAGGGCTTACTGCTTGGGTTTTCAGTTCCCTTTTCACTTTTAGATCCTGGTCTTGGGAGCTCAGCTGTATTTTCAACAATATTTATTAAATTTTCCTCAACATTTCTAGGGAGGTTCACCTCCCCACCCAAGTTATCTGGCCCACTGTATTCTTGTTCAGGGTTGAAACTTGATAAAGCTTTAACACTTTTCAAATGTATGATTTTGGTTCCTGTTTTTGAAGAATCTAAATAGATTTAAAATGTAGCCATGAAGAATATTGATAGGAAGCAGATAGGTAGGTCAGGAATAGTCCTATGATCCTTTCAGGGTTGTAGGTCCTTAATCAGATATTTCTCTCTCTCAGATAATAAGTGTTCCTCAGTTTTGTTCTTTTTGTCAAACAAGTACTAGCATGTAGTATTTTCTTCACATAGCACCTTCTCCCTCCTGATGGGATTTTTTTCTGCTAATAGCCCAGGCCTTCTAGGATTTTTTAAAAAGGAAATAATTTCTCTGTAGCCAGCAGAAAATGAAAGAGTACTGCTGAACCCTGATGCTCGATTATGTGACAGTTTTTAGTCATAATAAGCTGTGTCTCCCTCAAACTGTTTCTCCTAAAAAAGGACAAAATTTTGGATGGCCAGTCGCTTGATGTGAATCTGTACATGATGAATCTAAAGCAATCAAAATATTAGGAAACTCAGAAGTTAAGTCAATAGCTGATTTGGAGGATTGTGACAAAATATGGACAACCTTCATCACCTGAGCCACCAACAGGACCAATTATATCCTATTATAATTGATGTGTTTTATTTTGGGGTTTTTTCTTTGCAATTTCCTTTTACAAAGTTGTGAGATAAATACATATTTTTTTACCTAATGTTTATCATAAGGTTATTGTAAACTCTTTATAAACTTTTATATCTATATAATATTTTATTTATAGCAAATTTACTGAACTCTTTTCCCATGTAGTATATTTAATTCTAATTTCTTCCTCCTGCCTCTCCCTTCACCTGCTTTGTACAGAAATGAATACCTTGCATTATAAAATTTTTTCCTTGAAAGTATTAGGGTGAATTTCCAGATAGAATTACTGTGTAAAAATGTTTTCACATTTTTAAGACTTTTGACACATAGTGCCATATTGTTTACCAAAAACATGGTATAAAGTTATATTCTCCCAGCAGTCTTAAACAGACCACTTTCATTTTATGTTGTGTCTAACCAGTTAGCCATTGGACAAAGATATGATGCTGATGCTTTCTTTATGGTTTCTCTACAGGATATGGTGCCTGTCATAGTTGATTACTGCCTTCTGCTACAGCGAAAGTGAGTATACATTGCCTGTCAGATTCAATTATTTTGAACTCAGGTTGCTTCTTGCTTGTATTATAATTTACTGCTATGAATTGTGTGCATTTGACTGGATAGGTTTTTTTAAAAAAAATGTATGGAAATTTGAGTCTTTTACAATTTGACGTCCATTTACCTAATAAAATTAACTTTTCCAAAATAGATGCTGTGGGTGTATCAGCAGTGTGTTTGTGTGGCGGGATAGTAGAGGTGAAGAACATAGCTAACACAAGAGCAATACTAAAAGATCTTAAAAGTAAAAGTGTATGATTCATGTACTGTATATATACTTTTTTATGAACCGTCACTAAAACAAAGAATTTCAAACCACCCAAAAAAGGGCAAGTTTTGTTGTGCTTCTGCACTGTTGATTTATAGAACCTTTTTGTTTAAAAGAAGTCAGTGTAAATACACCCTTGATTAGGCTTTGTTGGTTTTAGTAGTAACTATGTAAATTAACCAACCTATACTGGTTCACAAATTTTTCACACTTTCAATAACAGTTAACTCCCTACATGCCAGGTATTGTAACTAAGCCCTTTACATTAATTTATATAATTTTTGGAACCAGTGAGGTAAGTATTATTATCTTCAAAGCTCACTGACCCTTCTTTTGAGGAGCAAAGGTGGAATTTTAATACAGGCAATCTAACTCATGGACTCTTGTTCTTTTGTTCTTTTTTTTAAAATCTTCACCCAAGGATATGTTTTTGTTGTTTTTTCAATTGATTTTAAAGAGAAAAAGAGAGAGAGGGAGAGAGAGGAATTGAGAGATAGAGACATCGATGTGAGAAAGAAACATCAATCGGTTGCCTCCTGCATGTGCCCCAACTGGAGATGGAACCCGAAACCTGGATATGTGCCCTGACTGGGAATTGAACTTGCAATCCTTTAGTGCACAGGACGATGCTTCAGCCAACTGAGATGGACTGGCCAGGGCTGACTCTTGTTCTTAACCATTAGCTTGTACCACTTTATGAGTGATAGAGAACAAATGTGAGGACCTAATGCAGACACTCTTGAAAGTATAATATTGGCTTGACTCACGAATTTATATATATTCAGGTATCCTGAATCATAAAAGGTCGAATCATACTTTGAAAGTATCGGTGAAGCTTATCAAGAGGGCCATTACTTGCTGTGAGATGTCTTGAGTCACAAAGACCTATACAATCTGCTTCCTCAGGGCTAAAATTTATTCCAGTGTTTTAGCTATAGTGTTATATGTAATTATCCATTGAAATATGCTGTATTCACAGTAGGGATGTTATTGAGAACATTGTTTTATGTTACACATTATCTTCTTTATGTGGGCCTAGGGGAAAAATTTCCCTCAAGTGTTACTACCAGAAATACTTTCACATCTTCTGAACAGCTAGTTCACTTTTACCTGATGGACAGTGAATTGCGTAGCTGATTATTGTTTCCTAGAAAGCTAAAGCCATGGTATACTAAGCTCTTCCTAGCTTTTCTTTACTTAGTTTTCTCTTTACCCCACTTTTCACACTCACTTCCTTGATATTTATCTTGTATTTTTTAAAGCAGCCTCAATAATTATGGATCAGTTTCACGTATTTCATTTCATTTAATCCTTATAATTACAATGTAAGAGAGGTAATTTTATCTTCATTTTTAAGTGAGGAAATTGATACTCATACTAATAAGTACTTTATCAACCCAAATCTTTCAATTGAGATAATTATAAATGAGATAAAAATAAAGTATCTAAAAGAATAAATTTTGTTCAGAGCAAAAAGGCATATCTTTATAAAATAGATTATATCTACCTAGAACAGTACCTAGTACAAAGTAGCTATTAGTACCTGATGGCTGAATTAATGAAATAATTCTGCCTCCTGGTTTGCCAGGTGACTTGTGATCATTATCTTGAATATATTAATATTATCTCAGTGACATAAAGTTGAAATGGCACTAGCAGTTGTAAAACGAAGGGTTATATAGGGAAAAAGAAAAAAAAAGAGTTTTCTTTTAGAATTATTTTGTGTTATTCCCAAAAATGTTCTTATAAAAATGTAGCTTCATTTCAGTGTGGTATCTTCCTCCCTAAACTGGACACTTTCTACCATCTTCTTTGACATTTCCCCCCAGTTTTATTGAGAAATAATTGACATATAACACTGTATAAGTTTAAGGCATACAGCAAGATGGGTTGATTTATATATATTGTGAATTGATTGCCACAATAGGTGCAGCTAATATCCATCATATCAGATAGATACAGTAAAAAAAAGAAAAAAATGATAAAATTTTCTCCTTGTAAAAAGAACTCTTAGGATTTACTCTATTAACAACTTTCTTATGTCATACAGCAGTATTAGCTACTGTCATCATGTTATACATTACATCCCTAGTACTTATTTATCTGGAAGTTTGTATCTTTTGACTACCTTCTTCTAGTTCCCCCTTCCCTCACCCTCCACCTTTGGCAACCACAAGCCTGATCTCTCTTTCTAGGAGTTTGTTTTTTTAGTTTTTCTAAGATTCCACATATAAGTGAGATCATACAGTATTTATCTTTTTCTGTCTGATTTATTTCACTTAGCATAATGCCTTTGAGGTCCACCCATGTTGTTGCAAATGGTAGAATTTCCTCATTTTTTATATACCAATATATGTACATACATATATGTGCTACAACTTTATTATCCATTCATCCGTCGATGGACACTTAAGTTGTGTCCATGTCTTGGCTATTGTGAATAATGCTGCTGTGAACATGGGGGTGCAGAAGATCCTTTCAGTTTCTGTGGTATCAGTTGTAATGTCTCCTTTTTCCTTTATAATTTTGTTAATTTAGGCTCTCTTTTTTCCTTGGTTTGTCTAGCTAAGGGTTTGTCAATTTTGTGTATCTTCATAAAACCAACTCTTAGTTTGGTTAATCTTTTCTATTGTTTTCTGTTTCCTGTTTTGTTAATATTTTCTGTAAACTTGATTATTTCCTTTTTGTTCCTGCTAATTTGGGGCTCAGCTTGTTCTTTTTCTACTTCCTTAAGAAGTAGAGTTAGGTTGTTTATTTAGGAACTTTCTTCTTAATGTAGGTGTTTATTGCTGTGAACTTTGCTCTTAGAACTGCTTTTGCTGCACCCCACTGGTATTGATTGTTGTTTTTGCTTGCTTTTGTCTCAAGAAAATTTGTATTTCCCCTTTCATTTCTTTTTTGGTTGTTCAGGAGAGTGTTGTTTAATTTCCATGTGTTTATGAATTTCTCAATATTCCTTTTGTTATTGATTTCTGGTTTTGTTCAATTGTAGTCAAGGAAGATACTTGGTATGATTTCAGTTTTCTTGAATTTGCTAAAGACTTGTTTTGTGGCCTAACATATGGTCTATCCTAGAAAATATTCCATGTGCACTTGAGAAGAATCTGTTCTCTGCTATTGTTGGATAGAATGTTCTGTATATGTCTGTTAGGTACATTTGATCTATAGTGTTGCTCAAATCTGCTGTTTAATTATTGATTCTCTGTCTGGATGATCTATTCATTGTTGAGAATGGGCTATTAAAGTGACCAACTATTACTGCATTACTGCTTATTTCTCCTTTTAGCTCTATTAGTTTTTGCTTTATATATTTAGGTACTCTAATGTTGGGTACGTGAATATTTATAATTATTATATCTTCTTGGTGGATTGACCCCTTTATTATTATATAATGACTTTTTTTTTCTTTAAAGTCTATTTTGGGGAGTGGATGTCCTATTATACGGCTATAGGGAGGCTGAGCTAGAAGTGATAAACAGCAGTTGTGAAGTTAGCCCTTCCTGTAAAGAAAGTCAGCACCCAGGAGTATAATGCCTAAATATAGAAAGAAACACAAGAGCTAAAACCCTTTTTGTATGTCCTTCCTTCTCCCTCCTTCCCTGATGCTCTAATAAATATCCTCCCAGGATGATGAGAAAATGTCTTAGAATTTTGTTTTATTTTTATTTTAAGCTAGAAATGCAGTTAGGAGTTGCTGAATTTTCACTTTTTTGCTTCTTTATTACAGCCTCTGACTGGTTAAGAAAGAAACATAGACTTTTGCCATTAATCTCACCAGCATTGCATGCTGCTATGTGTCACAGGAGTGCCATGTTTGTCAACTTTTAGGCTTTGTTTACTGAATTTTTAGCTCTTTAATTCTCCTCCCCAGGGCTTTTGTGCTGAACTAAAATATATAATTATCTTCCCTAGCATGTTGTTTTTAACAACACGGTACAGAGTGCAAGCACTAGCAAATATGACATTTTCTTTAAATTCATTAGAGTTACTTTGTTACTCTCACTTTGTTTCTTACAGTAAAGCTTCATTAATCTCAGTTTCTTTTACTTGGCTGGCAATTGATAATCACAAAATTGTGGTGGATTATTGATTAAAATGAAACTAACATGAAAAATACTCTGATAAATATGAAGCAAAGGGGGAAAATGATCCAAAAATTACATTTGTGGATATGAGAAAAAATAAATGGATATGGATTTTCCCCCTAGGATATTGTAGATACTGTTTATTGAAAAGTGACATGTGGCTCTGATGAGGTGCAGCCAGTCTGGTTATTGTCTGTCTCCTTCTAGGACTTCAAGTGAGACAAGACCCTATCCTACCCCTTTCAGAATCTTTCTTGACCTTTTTGTGGAACTTGTCATGAAAGGCCACACCTGTGGATGGACTATTTACCACTTTTCACAGTTGACGTGTTACACATATAAAGAGATTACATTTAGTAAAAAATAAATAAAGAATACGAACAGGTACATAGAATTAGCACAGTTTTTGTATTAAAAAAAAGAATGAATTAGTGAATGATTCACAGCAATACAATTCATAAATAAAAACTTGGAAAACATTTAATTTTTCCAGTCATCAGAGAATGAAAAACAGTGATGTTGTTTAATGTATACTTATGAAATTATCGGGGGGGAGATAAACAATTGTCTGGTGAAACTAGTATTATTATATGTTGCTGGTGGCAGTGGAAACGGGTACTGCAGTGCTTTTTGTTTGTTTTTTGTTTTTATTTTTGTTTAAAATATTACAGATGTCCCATTTTCTCCCCAATGACCCATTCCACCCTATCCCCTCCCCCTCCCCAGCCCCTCTCCCCACCATTGTCCATGTCCTTGGGTTGTGCATATATGNTCCCATCCCCCTCCCCAGTCCCTCTCCCCACCATTGTCCATGTCCTTGGGTTGTGCATATATGCCTATAAATTCTTTGGTTAATCTCTACCCCTCCACCCTCCCACCCTCCTCCATCCCTCTGACATTCTGTCAGTCTGATCTATGTTTCCATGTCCTTGAATCTATTCTGTTCATCAGTCTATTAAGTTCTTTAGATTCCACATATAAGTGAGATCATGTGATGTCTGTCTTTCTCTGCCTGGCTTATTTCACTTAGCCTAATATTCTCCAGGTCCATCCATACTGTCCCAAATGGTATGAGATCCTTCTTCTTTACAGCTGCATAGTATTCCATAGTGTAAATGTCCCACAGCTTTTTTATCCACTCATCTACTGATGGGCACTTGGGCTGTTTCCAGATCTTAGCTATTGTAAATAGTGCTGCTATGAACATAGGGGTGCATATATTCTTTCTGATTAGTGTTTCAGGATTCTTAGGATATATTCCTAGAAGTGGGATCAAAAAGACAGCTCCATTTTTAATGTTTTGAGGAACCTCCATACTGTTTTCCATAGTGGTTGTACCAGTCTGCATGCTTTTTGAAGATAATTTACATTTCAAGTGCCACAAAATTTTTTTCATATCTTTTAACGTAAGATAAATTTCTAGAAGTAGCATGACTAAGGAATTAAGCTCCCCAAATGGGAAAGTCTGTATATGTAGATGGTCATTATGGCATCACTCATAGTATTGAAATACTGAAAGTAAGTGATAAAGCCATCGATACAGGAACAGTTAAGGAAATTCTGCTATTTCAGCATATTGAACCATTGTGATTTACACAGGATGGGCATTTCAAAAGTAGGTAGCAACTTAGAATAATGCTTATATAATGTTACATGAAAACAGAATTTAAAAAAAAAGAAAACAGGCCCTGGCCTGTGTGGTTAAGTGGCTAGAGCATCGGCCCTTGTGCTGTACTGTCACAGGTTTGATTCCTGGTCAAGGGCACATTACTGGTCTTGGGTTTACTCCCTGCCCCAGTCAAGGCACATGCGGGAGGCAGCCAGTCGATGTGTCTCTCTCACGTTGATGTTTTTCTCTCTCTCTCCCTCCCTCCCTTCCTCCCTCCCTCCTTCCTTCCTTTTCATTCTCTCTGAGAAAACAATGGGAAAAAAATATATCCTTAGGTGAGGATTAACAAAAAAACAAAAAAAAAACAGAATTTAGAGTTATATCTATGAAGAATATAACTAGAAGTATAAATGGACTGTGCAGAAAAAAATATGAATGAGTGGATAAAATATAATTATTGAGTACGGTGGCATTTAGGTAATTTTTAAAATGTGTTTCTGCAATAAAATTGTTTTCAGACATATTTTAAAAATATTGAACATTTTCTTCTATCAATCATCACTGCCTAAACCCTCTGGGAAGCAAATGGTAAGAACCAGATAAAGAAGCAAGATGCCTCTGAAGATCAGCTAGGAATATTTAGGTACCAGGAAAGAGGAAGAGATAACTTGGGGATAGTCTTTTTTGGGATTTTTTTTCCTGCTTTATCATGTTCATCACACTATCCGCTCCCATGTGTGTTGTTTCCGAAGCAGTGTGCCATAACAGACTCAGACAGGATTTAGGCGGGAAGGCCGAATCCCAATTCTGACTCTCTCACTTGTTAGCTATGTGACTTTCAGCAAATTATTTAACTTACTCAGCTTTTCTTATTTGTAGAAGAAGTATTGGGAAAATTAAGATAGTGGATATGTATATATGTATATATATATGTATGTAAAGGTTTTTCATAATATAAAATTCTATGCAAATAGTGTTACTGTTTTTAATAAACTTGTAAATTGAAACAAAAAAGATGATATACTTAGCACACTGAATTTCAGGGATGTTTGGAATGTTCCTAAAAGCTTTTTTTTGTTTCTGTTATAGAGATCTTTTATTCAGCCAGATGTATGACAAATTAAGTGAGAATTCAGTGGCCAAAGGAGTGTTTTTGGAGTGCCTTGAGCCATATATTTTAAGTGATAAATTGGTGGGGATCACACCCCAGGTAATGAAAGACTTAATTGTTCATTTCCAAGATAAAAAATTAATGGAAAGTGTGGAAGCTCTCATTGTACATATGGATATCACCAGCTTAGATATTCAGCAGGTAAGTTTATAGACAGCCTACTAACTTACAGAATAATCATTCCTTTGTTGATTGTACAGGGTGAAGCAAAAGTAGGTCAAATTGTATAAACCAAGCAACTTTTCCTTTTTTACAGGTAGTTCTCATGTGTTGGGAAAATCGTCTCTATGATGCTATGATCTATGTTTACAACAGAGGCATGAATGAATTTATTAGTCCAATGGAGGTAAGATACTTCCTGTCTTAGACACATATTTAATATTGTCTTTTAATGTGTGTGTTTTTTAATTCTCTGCTATGAATAGTTTCTGTTCTCAAGCATTTTTAAAATTTCTTTTAGATTTATTAGGCTTGTACCCATTTTGGAATTTATTAAGTAGTCTTTAATTTCATATTTTCTGCCATTGCTTTTTTTTTTTTTTTAAATATATCTTTATTGATTTCAGAGAGAGGACAGGAGAGGGAGAGAGAGAGATAGAAACATCAATGATGAGAGAGTCATTGATCGAGCCCGCAACCCGGGCATGTGCCCTGACAGGGAATCGAATCCCGATCACCTGGATCCTAGGTCGACGTTCAACCGCTGAGCCACGCCCGGCCGGGCTGCCATTGCTTTTTTATAGCTGCATAAATAGGTTTTTAAATCCCAGGGAACAATATATAAAATTTAAAGTAATGCATGCCTGTTAGACTTCAAGTTTTTTTCTGAAGAATTTTTGATATTATAATAGCCTTTCCAAAAGGTATACAAAATTTATTGTAATTACTGTATGTAGTAAATGTACTATTGAGTAATACTATTTGTAAATATATTCTTCTGGGGGAAGGTCCTGAAAATGTTGGGAGGTTGATATTTGTTAATTGCTGATTTGTTGCTTTTCCAAGTTCAGAATTTTATAGTATTCATTATGTAAGAATAATTTCTTATTCTCCTTACCATTAGAAAAGAGCATCTAAAGAGCATTTTAAAAAAGAAAAAAATCCCATATCCACCTTCTTATTTGCCTTATATTTGAAGACAGAATTGTGGATAATGCAGTGTGCCCTGCCAGCCCATTGCTTTATTACAGTGACTGCTGAAGGCATCCAGTCAACTTTTTTTCATATTTATTGGCCATTCAAAACTATCTTCAGTATTAAGTCAGCAGTAATTCCATGATATTTCAGTCCTCTCTAAACACATTTAGCTTTGGTACATGAGTAACCCTCTAATTCCTAACTCCTTCAATTTTTGATACACCTCTTTTCTTGGTCAGTTTACAAAATGAGAGTCACAATTTACAAAACAGGTTCCCCTACTTTTGACCCTGATCATCAGTGTGTCGAGTAAGTATTCTTTACGCTCGAACACCTATCAACTCCTTCCTCACCCAGCTGCTGTAGAAATGTTCTCTGTCCCACTACTAAACCACATTAGGAAGAATTAATGCAATTCCTACTTTCTCTCAAATAATTCCTTAAAGCAGATTCTAATTTGATGCATTCTATGCTGATAAAAATGATTGCTGGTATTTTGTTATTGTTGCTTTTGAAGTTTTTGTTTTGTGTGAGTATTTTATTCTTGAAAATCTGGTTTACATTTATACCTATACATCTCAGATGGAACACTGAGGTTGCCTTGTTTTGTGTTAAGAGCAGATTTCAAGTTTAATGATTATCAGCAGGAGCTTAGTACTTGTTATTAAATAGTCATTTGGAGATTTTAGCAGTGAGAGGTTAGATGCATTCTATGATTTCTCTTTTATAATTCTCTGCCTATAAGGAAATCTCTTTCCAGTGTTTAAAGTTATTTTAGTACTTAAAGAGGTCTAAATTAAGGGGAGGTGTCCTGCCTTCTAAAATTTTCTAGAATGAAAGACAGAGTCATCACATTTGAGATGACTACCAAAGTCTCTGAAATCTTTTGTTCTAATTTTAGCTGCTTCTGGAGTAAAAGTAATGCCTTGTGTTGAGAGGAAAAACTTCCTCTGTCAACTCCCCCAATGATAGGGGGAGGGCTTCGAATTTACTAACAGTAGACAGATTAATAGGAGAAAAGACAAGATTTATTCACTTGTATACTGGGAGTTTACAACAGTGAGTAAACTCACTGAATAGCCCATAGTAAAAGTTTATATACCAGTTTAACAAAACATTCCATGGGGAGGGATTTAGGGCTTTATGGAAAAGTATGGATGGTTTTATAGGGCTTTTTAATGCTGATCTACAGCTGCATTTGCACTTTCCAGTGCTAAGAGTCAGTCTTCTCCCAAACAGAAAACTCCCTTCCAGGAAGGCCAGTTAGTTTTGCCATTTATCTTATATTTTCAGAGGCTCTGCTTAAATTTAGATAATGTTTCTTTCTGTGGCTGCTGATTGTTCAGATGATTTCAGTTTAAAGTAATTTTCATTACCATTTTGGTGGGTTATTAATCCCTTCACTTACTTACTGTTTTTTAAGAAAGCTAAGGATATCTTATATAAGAAATTATAATCTCAACAAAGACCTTCATCGAACTGATATTTATTAAATGGTTTCTTGTATGAGGAATATGACAATGATTGTTTCCCAGTGATCCTTCTAAAACAGCTCATATCCACGTTAAAAGTTTTTATATTTAATCTCAATAGCATATGATTGTTCTAATTCAATCAGAGAAAGGTTATTAATAGCAAAAGATTCTTGATTATCTTTTTAAAAATATTCTTTTTGAAAAAATTATGGTGATTGTTTTCCTATTTCATTTTCATGCAGAAACTTTTCAAAGTCATTGCTCCTCCTCTGAATGCAGGAAAGACACTAACAGGTATTTTCTAAGCCTTAATTTTTTTCTCTTTTTTTTCTGTATTTTAAAATATTATTTAAATATTGTAAAATTCACCAATTTTATGTGTACAGCATAAATTTTGGTAATTGTATATAATCCTGTAACTACCGCTATAATTAAATTATAGAAGGGCCTATACACCTATACAGTTCCTTCACACCTAAAAGTTTCCTTTTGCCCCTTTGTGCTCTATCCTTTGCCAACAGTCCGACCTTCAGACAATCACTGATTTACTTTCTGTCACACATTTCATGTAAATGGATCCTACAATATGTAATCTTTGATGTTGTATTTCTTTCATTTAGCATAATGTTTGGAGATTCATCCATGTTGCACTTATTAATATTTCATCCCCTTTTACTGCTGAATAGTATATCATGAATTGGATATACCATCACTTGTTTATCTGTTTAGCAGTTGATGGACATTTGAGTTGCTTCCAGTTTGGAGCTGTTATAAGTAATGCGACAACATTTGTGATGAGTTTTGTTTTTAATTAAACTTTTTATTGTAAGGAAATTAGAGATTCACATACAGTTGTAAGAAATGACACAAGGGATCCTGTATACTCTTTACCGAGTTTCCTCAATGATATCATTTTGCAAAACTAAAGCACTGTATTACAACCAGATATTCACATAGATAAAGTCAAGATATAGAAGAGTTTCATCACCAGAGGTATCCCGTATGTTGCCCTGTCCCCCAGGGCTGATCTCTACCTATGAATAAATTTGCATGTGGGCATATGTATTCATTTTCTTGGACAACTCCCTGGGATTGGAATTGTTACTAGCGTTATTGGCAGTGCAGTTGGACCTCAGTTCTTGAGTTCGGCAAAGAAAGAATTCAGAGCCAAGAATTCACATTATAAGAGAAAGTTTATTTAGAATGTTACAGAGGTAGTAGAAGTGAGCCATCTGGGCTGCATAGGCTCAGGAAACAAGTTACAAAAGCAAAAGAAGAGCCCTTGGAGCTTAGGAGAGAGAAAGGCAAAGGTAATGTGCCTGCGGGGAAGAAGAGGGGGGAAAGGAAAGGCCCAGGTGTGCTCCTGAGAGGGAGAGTGCGCACTGGGTCCTTTGTCTTGAGGGTTTTATGGGCTGGGAGTTTAAGGGAAGCATTAGGGGAGGGTCTCAATAGAATATTCATCACCTTTATGCTGATACACCAAAATGAGATTTATTGCCCTGACATAACAATAGAAAGTTGAAAAACTGAAAAGCAAAGAGAAAAAGATTGAGAAACAAAAGCAGATCAGAATATCTGAAACTATGGGGCAGCTACAAAAGGTGTGATGTATACATAATGGGAATATCAGAAAGAGAAAGAGGAGAAAAAGGAACAGAAGCAATATTTGAAGCAATAGTGACTGAGAATTTTCCCAGATTAATATCAGACACCAGACCGCAGATCCAGGAAGCTCAAAGGACACCAAGCAAGATAAACAGCATAAAAACAATATGTAGACATATCATATCCAAACTGAGAAAAAGAAAAAAGATCTTGAAAGAGGCCAGAGGAAAAGAGCACCTTTCCTATAGAGGAGCAAAAAGAGAATTACATCGTACTTCTCCTCAGGAACCATGCAAGCAAGAAAAGAATGGAGTAAATATTTAAGGTGTTGAGAGAAAAGGCCAGTTTTTTACCCTGTGAAATTCTCCTTCAAAAGTGAAGGAGAAAGAAAGGCCTTCTCAGATCAAAACTGAGGGAACTGGTCAATAGAACTGTCTTGCAAGAAATGTTAAAAAAAAGTTCTTTAGAAAGAAAGTAGTATAAGAATCTCAGATACAGGTAAGGAAGAGTATTAGAGAATGAATAAGTGAAAGTAAAATGAAAACTTTTATTATTTTTCTTATTAATTGATCTATCAGATAACAGTTTGTTCAGATTATTATCAACAATGTATTTGATTATGTGTGGCTTGTGTGTGCACGTGTGTGCATGCTTATGTATAAATGAAATGAATGACAGCAAGGATACAGGTATGGGAGGGAGGAATAGGAGTATTTTGTTATTATAAGGTACTTATACTACCTGTGAACCTTATAGGAAGACTCAACAATGTCAAGATGTCATTTATTCCCAACTTGATCTATAAATTCAGTGTAATTCAATCAAAATCCCAGAATATTTTTTTTAGATATTGACAAGCTGATTCTGAAGTTTATATGGAGAGACAAAAGACCCTGAATACCTAAGTCAATACTGAGAGAGAAGAACAAAGTTGGAGAACTGACTTCAAGACTTACTATAAAGGTATAATAATCAAGACAGTGTAGTATTGGTGAATGAATAGAAAAATAGATCAGTGAAACAATAGAGAGTCCAGAAAGAGATTCTCATGAATATAGTCAACCGATCTTTGACAAAGAAGCAATAGCAAGACATTGGAACAAAGGCACTCTTTTCAACAAATAGGGCTGGAACAACTATACATCCACATGCAAAATAATGAATCTAGACACAGACCTTACAATTTTCATAAAAATTAGCTCAAAATGGATCATAGACCTAATGGTAAAATGCAAAAGTATGAAACATCTAGAAATAATAGGTAACATAGTTGACTGTGGCTACAGTGATGAATTTTTATATATAGCACCATCCAGGAAAGAAAGTTACCATCAAGGAAAGAAATAACTAATAAGCTGAACTTTGTTAAAATTAAAAACTTCTCCTCTGCAAAAGACAATGCCAAGAGACTGAGAAGACATTCCACAGATTGGAAGAAAACATTTGCAAAAGACTGTTATCCAAACTACAAAGAAATCTTAAATCTCAACAATAAGGAAATGAACAACCCGAGTAAAAAAATGAAAAGACCTGAACAGACACCTCACCAAAGAAGATATATAGATGGCAAGTAAGCATATGAAAAGATATTCAACATCATTTGGTAATTACAAGTTTAAACAACAGTGGGATACCAGGCCACACACTTACTAGAACAGCCAAAATCTGGGACACTAACAACACCAAATGACGACTAGGATGCAGCACAACAGGAACTCTCATTTATTGCTGGTGGGAATGCAAAATGGTATGGCCACTGTGGAAGACAGTTTGGTGATTTCTTACAAAACTAAACATATTCTTACCAGATGATCCAATAATTGCTCTCTTTGGTATTTACCCAAAGGAGTTGAAAACTTATGTCTGCACAAAATCTGCACACAGATGTTTATAGCAGCTTTGTTCATAATTACTAAAATTTGCAAGCAACCAAGATGTTCTTTAGTAGATGAATGGATGAATAAACTATAGTATATCCAGACAATGGAATATGATTCAGCACTAAAAAGAAATGAGCTATGAAGCCATGAAAAGACATGGAGGAAACATATGCATATTACTAAGTGAAAGAAGACAATCTGAAAAGGCTACATACTGTATTATTCCAGTTATATGACATTGTGAAGAAGGCAAAACTATGGAAATAGTAAAAGGATCAGTGTTTGCTAAGGGTTAGTTGGGAGGGCGGGAGGGATGAGTAGGCAGAGCTCAGGATTTTTAGACAGTGAAGCTATTCTGTACGATACTATAATGGTGGATACATGTCATTATATATTTGTCAAAACCTATGGAATGTAGACCACTAAGAGTGAACCCTAATATAAACTATAATTAGGTGATAATGATGCATCAGTATAGGTTCATTGATTATAAGAAACATACTACCCTGGTGTGGGATGTTGATAGTGCGGAGGGATTGTGTGTGGTGTGGGAATATGGATGGGGGCATATGGGAATCTCTATACCTTCCCCTCAATTTTGCTGTAAACCTAATTAAAACTTCTCTTAAAAATAAAGTTTATTAATATAAAAACATTTTGAACTGAAGCAGGATGTAATTATTCATTTAATTTTGAGCAATTCAAGTTTATTTACACTAATAGCAGAAGAGATTTGGAGTAATTGTAAAGGATTACTGATTAAATAAGAGATGTACACTTGTACTATGTCCAGTATTCATATATCAAAAATAGAAACTTCAGCTTGTCATTATTACCAACCACAAATTCCTATAATCTCACACCACAAGAGTTACTGATTACTTCACGCACTCTTGGTGCTCCTGCTCTATTCTGTTGCCTGTGACTCTTTGGCATAAAACTTGGCCTAATTATATTTCCATTTTCTTTTAACCAAGAAATAGGTTTATATTACCAGATGACAGAATCTTTCATTTTAGACCTAACTTAGAATACAAAGGGTCCTAAAGATCATTTAGTCAGGTCTCTCAAACATTTGTGAACAATGGCCTTCTCAGCCCTAGAGCACTGTAGGTGGTAAGAGTCCTATTACAAATGAGAAGACTTTATAGTTATACTTTAATATTAACTAATTGGTTATGATCTATAATTAGTCAACTCACTGCCTGCTCTACACCTTCACTGGTCCAAAGCTATTGGTTAAGCCAACAAAACATAGATCTCTACCCTCAGATCTATTTCTTCTACATGCACCCTTGAATGACTCATCAACTTTGAGTCTGTGAAAAGAATCTTATGGGAATTCTAAAAATAGTAAAGTGGTCTTATCTCAGTTTTCTGTTACTTGGGGATATACTTACTTTACCTTAAATGCCAAGTTTTATTTTTTGTTTCTACATAACAGTTACATTTCTGAAAAGGTTTTGAGAGAGAATTGCTGAAGATACTTTTTCTATTTTAGATGAGCAAGTTGTTATGGGCAACAAGCTCCTTGTATATATTAGGTAAGAGGTTTTTTATTTATCTCTGTTATACTCCTCCTATAATTCCTTCCTCCCCCCCCCC